CGACGACTTTTTAGGATTCGCTTCAATTCAAAAGTAACAAACATAATAACATTAGCAACCTCATTGATGCAGCACAAGATTCGTTTGTAAAACGCAGTGTACTTATGGCATTTTATCCTCTAAAAAAGTGCACATTGATGTTAGCAAATAAGAAAATTATTAACAGCAAGGCAAGTTATGTTGATGAGCTTCCAATATACCTTAGAATCTACAAAATTAGTGTAAACCATCATAGGATTTTATTTTGCATGGTTATCCTACGCGACTATCTTTGTTTAGTCCCTTTACCTTCTCTGTAATAAGCACTTCTTTGCCTTTTAGTCCGCTTCAGCTTGTGAAATATTTTAATAGGCTTCCAAACCGATATTCGCATAAGTTCCAGTGTGATTACAAAAACGTATTCTGAGGGACAGAAACTTAAAAGAGAAACAAAAGCCGCAGCGTATATGGAATGTCCGGCTTATGAAAACGTATGCCTCCTTTTTAGTTCCTATTCTATTATAAACAATCCTCAGCGCTTTACCAATAATTATCAGTTTATAGCTGTCCAAACAGCACTAGATTTTGTACAATGGGGCCTCCATTTCTGACATCTTAGTGCTGCATAACTGAGGTTTTATTCTGAGAGTTTTTTTGAACGCAGTGGTGTTCTGATTTTACACTCTTGTTAATAAGTATTTAAATGGAGCCGCTCAGATCGTCACTGGTATGTAAGCAAAACACACTGCTCAATTATGTAAAATGAGACTTTTATAATCCTGTTACCCAAAGAGTGTTCCCATGTCTTTCAACAAGTAATACAAAACCGACAGAATCAAATAGACCAGTTTATGAAGACGAACAAAATCACTTCAGCTCCCTACCTATCCATTCCAATTCCCCTCTACCCATTTAGTTTTCCACCCACCTACATACTTGCGATCACATCAGCCATTGCATTTGTCAGATCTCAAACATCAAGCAGCAGGCGATAACTAAGTAAGCAATTTATTCAAGCAAGTGCATTTTAGAGCATGTGGAATTTCCAGTAACCCAGGGAACGATCAACAACATCCTATGAATAATAAGGATGGGAAGGAGGAAAAAGCAAAAAAGTGGAAAAATACTGGGATGTTAAAAGACACCGAGATTAGGCGATTTACCTCTGCAACACACTATCTCCATGCTCGCAAGAAACCTTCGCACTGGCGACGCAACTTCGCTTTAGGTTAGTTCCTTTTCTGGAAGCCCACCTTGCTCCACGTTCATTCCTTCCCCATCAATCTTGAATTCAGTGGACGTGGAAGAGTGCGTTGCATAATGGATGTCTCCCTCTAACGGCTCATAGAAAAGCATAGAGGCCTGTAATGGGAATAAGAGGTGAAAAGCATTATACTAGGCTTTAATCCCCCTCCTACCACAGACAAACAATTTTCGCATCTGGTAGTCCTAAACACTGAAAAGGGGGATCCGAACAACGTATCGGTCGAAGCGGAGGTTCCGCTCAAATAAAAAGACACCTTCAACAACGCCCTCGATCTAGGGCGCACAATTACAGAGCGCAGAATATATCAGAGGGGTCTGCCAAGACGATTGCTTAATCGAATATTTCTCAAGGAAAATGGGTATACACGTTTCCCCTTATTTACTTCACCACATTTGACATTATAGCGACGAGCTAGAGCAGTGAATGTGGGCTCAGACGCGAGGCAAGGCGAGGAAACATGGTCAGGGGAGAAGGTGACAGATCCGGTGTGTTTGTACATCATGCCGCCGACGGTAAAACTGGTCGCATAGTTATCCGCACTGGAAGCATTTTGCTTCAGTTGTACTCACACAGCATGCTGAATGTAGATGACAAGAGGTGGCTTTGCTGTTGCCGTGGTGGCAGAGCAATCGACCGACGTGGGTAGCAAGTATTACGACACAGCTTCTTGGAGAAGTAACTAGTGGAGCTGCAATCTGACACCGGCGGCGGGTCGTTACCACCACCTCGTGCATTCACAACACACCCAGATGAAACTGGGGACAATGAATTGCGGTGAGACGCTCCGCTGTATAAAACTTGTACTCAGCAAAGTCTCCACTGAGAAGCGCTACGCCGCCTTT